ACACACACACACACACACACACACACACACACGTAAACACACACAAACTAAAAACAAACACAAACATACCAACAAGAACACACACAAAAAACAGACACAAACACACACACTAAAACAAACACAGACAGACACATACACGCACGCAAATACAAAAACAAACACACAAACACATACAAACAAACACACACACAAATACACAAACACAAAATGATTCTGATCCTCTGAAGTGGAGTTCTGTGGTAAGGTTATAACTATCTTACCTGTCACAGATAGCTCTTTGAACAACAAATTCTTACCAGACTGACGAGCTAACGGCTGGTCTGAACGTCTCAACACTAGCTACTGTAGTTGCTGCTAGCATTAGCACGTGTCGCTAGTCCTACAGATATATTAAAATATTCCTGCTGAAAGTGCTACAGATGCTGCTAATGCTAAGCCAATAACCACATAAATCAATGTAAGTTACTATTTAATCCAAAACTTATGGTTTATAAAACATTTTACATGAAACATGGCAACATTTTTTGAGATTAGAGCTGTTTTAAAGTGGCTACAACATCATGTTTTTGAAATAAAAATCACTGTATTTTTGGAAATAGCATTATTATTATTATTTAGTTTTTAAAAAATCACTCCACTGTGATGAACAGTTAAGGAGATATTTGCATATGCAGTAACAGGAAGTGATGTCAGTAACAAGAAATAGTTTTAAAGGAGAACGCCTGCATGTGCACAGAGCATTGCTACAATGGCTCCAATGTTGAGTCACTATCAGAGAGTCAGAGTTCAAATAATAAAGTTTCAATAAATAAGAGTTCACCTTTGATGTCACTTCTTGTTTCACTTTGGCTGCCCAAGTTAAAAAATATAACAGTTATGTAAAATAAAATGGGCATAAATCACGTGTATAATTATAATTATTTAATCTAAACAGAGTTTAACCCATTTTTTCCTAATTAAAGCCATTTAAAAAGTTATCTGCGACAGGTAAGATATTATCTGTTCATAGCCTTTTTCCTGAAGCCTATGTTAAACGTTCTGATGTCACGTTAGGAAGCTGTGGAGCACTTTCTTTTAAAACCTGCTGTTTCTGAAAAAGATCCACACACACTCTTCTGATCAGCTAAAACAGAACATTAAAGAGGAGGAATAACGTTAATTTTTGTTGCTTTAGCGGTTAAAAAAACTTATTTTTCTTCATTTCATTTTATTCTAAGAGCTTGTCGTTCTTCTGTGCCTGGCTTTGTTTCTGTCCAGAAATAGCAGGAGAATTTGATCAGGCTCAAAGAAGTAATAATCTATGTGAGATTAAGACTTTGGTTTGGCCTAAATTTAAGGAGAAATCTCATGTCTGAGATCAGATTATCAAGAAATAAACAGTTTCAGAGGAATTTAAACCAACGAGGCTTCTTAGGGCACGCTTTATATAAGGGATTTACAACTTGTTGGATTTTAATTCATAAACATTTAAATGTTTAACGTCGTAAACAGGTCCCTCTGGTGCGAGCTCCGTCCGACGCTCAGTCCTTTAATTTGAGCCGGAGCGTTGTACAGAGAGGAGGATGGAGGAATGATGCAGCCTGCAGCTGAAAATGACGAAGACTGAACGATGAAGAGGAGAGTCGGGCTCATGAGAGAGCTTCTGCTGCAGAGAGCTCCGCTTTCAACCGCAAACTGTTCACGACAAGCAACGGATCAGAACATAATCCCATGTTTGTTTGTTTTTTTTTCCTCAAGTATATTAGAATAATTTCACGTTATATATTAATAATGATTTAAAGACACTTCATTGTCACTTTACACATGCATGCGTACATTCATTCTTTATTATTAGTAAAGCCAGACTTTGTTCCACCCGATCCACAGAGCAACACACAACCACACGTTAACCAGCAAACAACAGTCCAGTGCTGCTCCATGGATGGAGGACAGTAGAACTGGGTTGTGGAGGGCGGAACTCAGCATTAGCCTTTTAGCTTTCGTGTTAGCTCCAGAGCTAATAAATATGGTGTTAGCTCCAGAGCTTATAAATAATATGGTATTAGCTTCAGAGCTAATAGCATTATCTCCAGAGCTAAAAAAAAAAAAAAAAAATGTTGTTAGCTCCAGAGCTAGGTAATTAATATGGTGTTAGCTCCGGAATTAGCTCCAGAGCTTATAAATAATATGGCATTAGCTTCAGAGCTAATAGCATTAGCTCCAGAGCTAAAAAAAAAAATAAAAATGGTTAGCTCCAGAGCTAATAAATATGGTGTTAGCTCCAGAGCTTATAAATAAT